CCCCCCACTCTCCCCGGAACCTCCGCCTCACCCTCTGTCTCTCCCCGCCCGACGTAGCCCCCTCAAAACCAACAAGTTTGAACCAAGTCCTCAATATCCCTCTGCAGTGTTCCTGGTTTATAGTCAGCCCACCCTTTGTTGGAACTCTCCCCTGCGGAGAGGGGAAGGGTTGGAGGAGAGCGGTATCGGGTGGTTGTGTGGTCTGTGAAGGCGTAGCTTACAGTTTACCATGAGTGCACGCTCAGGAGAAAGTGAGAGAGAGAGAGAGAGAACAAGAACCAGGCAAAAGAAACTGAGAACGAAAGGAGACCAGGAGACAGTTGAAATAGGCACATTGGTGCTTTATTCCATTCATAATATTCCCCCGGCAACCTAACAGCGACAGGAGGGTGCACGAGAGGGAAGGGAGGAGGCGAAGGGGGCTAACGGGGTGAGGTTCGGGGGCAGTCTGTCGGCGGTAGGGGATGGGGAGGGAGAAGGTAGGACTGGAAGTAAAAATTAGGCCATTGGTAGGCGCAGACAAGTTCCTTTTACCACTGTCTCTGGGGGTTCAAGGAGGATTGGGGTTGGGGGGGCGGTGTGTCGAGAGGTGGGAGTGGTGAGGTAAGGGGGAGGCGTGGGTCGAAGAGGTGGTAAGATGGGGAGGTTCGGACGAGGACGAGGGCGGGGAGGGTGAGGGTTGAGGAAGGGATGAGGTGGTAGGGGTGGGAGGAGAGATGAGGCTGTGGAGGTGGAGGGACCTGTCGGGGATTGGGGGGAGGGGGGCGGGGGAATGTCGAGGAGGTGGAGGGGTGAGCTGGGGGGGAAAAGGGTGGCGACAGGGGTGGGGGTTACAGCTGACTGCCACAGGGTTTCGGGGAAGAGAGACAGCGAGAGAGAGAGACACACACACCTACTCCTCCGTCTCCCCTCTCCCCCCTTTCTCAGGGAAGCAGTCATTACCTGACCGCACCCCGAAACAGGGTGAACGAGCCCCAGCAAGGTGCTGCCAGATTCCAAGATGGGGCAGGGTGTCCAGGGAAGGGAACGTACACCCGGGCAGGAGGGGGGAGGGGGATCCATTTCCTTTCAGGGGTTGGGGGGTTGGTAGGAGAGCTTGAGGTGACTTTAATTAAGAGTAGGAACATGCATTAAGACAACCCTTTTTCACTGTCTTGTTTTCTTAAGTCTCAGAGTGACCATTCACTCCCCGACGACGCTACGCGGTCTTAAGACCTCTTTAACAAATCTCATTTTTCTTTTTTAAAACCTATATATAGATGTGATGTAAATACATATATTTCTCGATTGTGTAGTCTTCAGCAGTTTCTTGTTTTATTTTGCTGTGTGCAAGAGAGAGAGAGACAAGAACAAAGAGTGAGAAACAAGGTCAGAGTAACAGAGAGAGACAACCCAAGGGATGGGCACAGAGCTAGACCGAGGGGATGTCCCTTGCCCCTCGCGGTCACTGTGCCCCACTATTGCCGATCGCTCCCCCACCCCTAACCGTCTCCCAAAGACACCCCACCCCCACCTTCCCAGTGAAGAAGTCCCTCTGTCTTCGTCTATAAGTGGGACCCCCCCACTTCCTCTCATCGAGGAACAGCGCCCATCCTCCGTCCACCCTGTCGGGATTTGGGAGGTTCAGATGAGTTCACCTCTCAGGCTCCCCGAACCCTTGCTGTCTCCCTCCTCCTTCAGGAAGGTCCCAACATCCCAGGGACCATCTGCAACACTCCCACTCAGTCTAGGTGATCCTTCCTTAAAACAGGAGACCAAAACTGTGTGCAGTGTTCTGGGGCAGCTGCAGGCCAGACGCCTTCATGTTTCTCCTCCTGTCCCCTTGTGATGGAGGCCAACAGACCACGTACCTTCCCAATTACTAGCTGCATCTGCGATAATGAGGCCTGACCTGTGGCATTTGTGCCGCACAAATACAAGGACCTTCTCCAACAAGAGAGAATCTAACTATCGCCTCCGCATCCCCCCCCC